TGCTCGTGAAGATGTGACCTGGAAGCAAAGTTTTCATACGTGTGACTCTGAATGTTGAACCAGGTCAGTAGATGAAAATCCTCCCTACACTTCCTTGGACATGAGAGCTCTCGTGGCTGGCTGACTGTGCATGAACAACTACCTTTCACGTTCATGGACCCTGTGGGACCCATTTGAATTCCACAGCACTAGAGAAACTTGAAAGTAGGTAAATAGAGATCAGCCTTGAAAATAGCCATTTGTTGCCCACCCAGGGAGTAAAAGTTTAGAGAAGAAATGCTAATGTGTATCAGGGAAACGGTGGAGGCATAAACAAGAAAAATGATTGGGGCTGAGTAGGCAAGTCTCAAGCCTGGTGTTACTGAGCAAGCCTGTGAAGACTGCTGCCCATGGTGGTCCTCTGCCAGGGAGTTAGCCTGAAGTTCCACCAGGGAGCCTCATTCCAAGGCAATGGAAACTGTCAGAAGAACACAAGCTCCACTGAGGCAGGTAATTGGTCTCACCTGGTGGCTGTTAAATCCCCAGGGCCTTGAGCAGTGTCTGGAATGTAGTAGATGCTCAGTAAGTATAACTGAGGAATTACCTTAGTGCTTAGATCTCTGTTCCCTGGTAGCCTAGACAGTAAAAAACCTGTCCTGAATGCAGGAGACCCAGGTTTAACCCTTGGTTTGGGAAGAGCCCCTGGAGAAGGGAATGGCAACCCAATCCAGCATTCTTGCCTGGAGAATTCCATGGACAGAGGAACCTGGTAGGCTGCAGTTCATGGGGGTCGCAAAGAGTTAGACATAACTGAATGACTAACACTTTCACTTAGGTCTCTGTTAAAATTTAAATACACTTGGAAGGGGTCTCGCCTGTTCTGTGACATTTCCACCTGATAATGAAAGCATTTTTAACTCTCAACCCAAGGGAATATTTCTATAGGATGGGCTTGGAGAGGAGACAGTGTGGAGTGTCAAATAGAGATGGGCAGTGGAACAGAATCTAGTGCCTGAGTTCACCAAAGGTCCTTCTGGCACAAGGAACAGCAAGGGTCATGAGGTAGAATGGGTAACAGGCTCTCAGGAAGGGTTTGGGATTGAAAGCAAGAAAATCTAGGTCTCTGTTTCTATTTTACCAATGATTAACTGCTTCAATCTCTAAGACTCTTGGTGTTTTTTTTTTAATTCAGAAAATATGGGTAATGATATGGACTAACTTACCAGACAAAGTTGTAGGGATCTGAAGGAAAAAATTAGTTAAGATGTTTTGGAACCATATATCACCATAGAGATGCAAAGAAATTATTCTGGTGTTAGCTATGAATGTCACTCAAGGTGAGAAAGAGGCACATGTTTGGGCTCAAGGGAGTTACTTCATCTTATGAAAGCCCACCCAGAGCAGGGCTGGGCAGCTCGGTTCAGCCCTGCTCCAAGTAGACGGCATTTGCTGTGCTAAGTCACTGTCTTGTCCAACTCTTTGCGAGCCCATGGACTGTAGCCCTCCAGGCTCCTCTGTCCATGGGATTCTCCAGGCAAGAAAACTGGAATGGATTGCCATGCCCTCCTCCAGGGGATCTTTCCGGCCCAGGGATCAAACCTGGGTCTCTTGCATCTCTTGCTTTTTCCCTATTGGCAGGTGGGTTCTTTACCACTAGCGCCACCTGGGAAGCCCAGGTGGACAGTGAGTGGGGCTGTTTCAGACCCAAGGAGGGTGCCTCTATCCACAGCAAACGCCACAGGGACACCGGCTCGTCAGTTTCCTAGTCTTCTCACATCGAAAACCCTGTGGTTCTCTCTGTTTCTATTCAGAAGGAAAAGGAGCCTGAGCTCAGCTTTCTGAAATGTGGATCAGAGGACAGACAGGCAGTATTAGGAAGTCCCTCTCTGACCATCTGTGGACTGAACCACAGTTCCATCCATCTCTGAACTGTGGAAACACTATGCTGAACAAAAAGACATAACCCCTTTCCTGCCCACTCCCAGCCTGCCAAAGTGAATTAATTAAAGACGCATAGCAACATGTGAAAATCGGAAATAAAAGCCTAGAGAAAGGTCACGAAGACATCTGAACCTTCAGAAGAGGACTCTGAGATGATCCAGCAAAACTCACTGGCCGTGAGCCACTGGACAGCAGATGAGCGAGCTGTGGCCGCTGTCGGCCGAGACTCTCACGTGGCGTTGTGCTCTCCAAACTCATTCACTGGTAGTCATCACAGAGCACACATGCTTATTATCAACGGCAAAAAGTGCTTCTGGTTAGATGTCACTAGGTGACATGAGATGACACAGCAGTTGAGACTTATAGGGAATAACACAGCAGATTGATTTTCATTTAAAAAATCCCAAACATCTCTACTCGCATGGAATTCATTTTTCTTTTAAACCTCTCTTAGGATTCTTGGATTGCAGGCTAAGCACTGAAGACTGAAACCCTCTTATTCCCCCAGGGGCTCCTTGGTAAACACCAATGTAGAGATTGTACTTCTAAGATTGGCAAACTTGTATTCTAGACCTTAGTATTTTCATATGGCCCCTGTTTTGTTATGAGGTAAAGCTCACAGTACTATGATTAATGACCTCCCACTACCTGACATAGATACTGGTATAGTTTGAACCCTGGGTGTGCAGAATTCCGTACGTAAGAGGAAACGGAGATTGCTCAAGTTAGAAGATCTGAGTGTAGTCCTACTAAAATTATGATCAAAGGAGGTTGGGACACGAGGCATCTAAAGGTGCAAAAATCCCACCCAGATTGGAAGGCCTGCTCTATTATGAGACATTTCTCTCTTCTTTGCTTTAGCTGGCCTTCCACAGGTGGTACCTTCTCAGGAGAGTCACATGGCCTCTGATTTTGTGGGGAATGCCAGGAAAGTTTGCGAGAATGTATTTAAAATCCTGCAGTGCCTCTTTGGAGAAAATGAGAGATTCAAGGTCCCAGTGCAGAGTAAACAGTGCAGGGTGAAGACAGAACACTGTCTTGTGCTCAAATGCTGATGGGGCATGTCAAAGCTGGAAGGGCTCCCGGTGGCCAAACCTGGAAGATTTGAGCATCAAAAAGAATGATGATGATAATCGGCTATAACATGTTGTATTTTAAAAAACAATCTGTATTTCCATCATGGTACTTGGAAAAATAGTTGTGTGTGTGGGGGTGGGGGGAGGAGAGGTCTTACTTCTTTTTGTAAGAACACTAGCTAATAACTGTGGAAGAATAAGGATAATTTTTCAATTTCTGACTTTACTCTTGCTACTGAGGCAAGGATCACTGATGGATGTTAAAACCACTGGGTGAATTTTGGGTGGGGGGACAAGCTATTCATGCTGTTTTGAAGTATCATCCTATAGATTGAAATTAATTACAAAGTATCTTTTATCATGGGGAGATATTATAAAGTATCCAAGTTATCAAATTAAGCATCACCAACAAATGGACAAAATAACATTATGTGTCTCCTTATGACCATTTATGATACTACACAATGGATATGCTATGTTACTATCTATGTAGTATCTTTGCCAAAATATTTAACCTGAATCCAAGCATGAGGCAATAGCCAGACCTGTTTGTGGTCCAGATTGTGAAACATAATACTAGATGACTGGCTGAGACTTCAAAAATGTCATCGCAGGACTTCCCTGGTGGTCCAGTGGTTAAGAATCCACCCGCCAACAGAGACAGGGGTTTGACCCCTGGTCTGGGAGATTCCACATGCCACAGACCAGCTAGGCCCGCAGGCCACAACTATTGAGCCCACATGCCCTAGAGCCGAGCCTGTGCTCCGCCACAAGAGAAGCGACCACAGGGAGAATCCCATGCACTGCAGTGAAGACCTAGCACAGCCAAAAATAAATAAAATTTTAAAAAATGTCATCACTACTCATGACCAAAAATGGAAGTGTGGTGGTAGACAGGTCCGCATTAAAGGAAACCAAATAGACATGATAAGTAAATACAATAGGTGATCTTTGTAGATCCACCCCCTAAAAGAAGAAGAAATTATTGTGAAGAATATTTTGGGTATAGTTGGATATAATTGAATAAGACTATTTCTTATTTTTCCTATTTATTAATATTCATAACATTATTGTAGCAATGCTAATTTTTTTTAAGGCATGGTACTGTGGTTATTTAGGAAAATGCTTTTGTTTTTACCAGATGTGTGCTGAAGTATTAAGGGATAATTGTCATCATGCCGGTGGCTTACTTTCACACAGTTCAAGCAAAATATAAATAGATAGATAAAGCAAGTGTAGCAAAATATTACCAGTTGGTGTGTCTGGGTGAAGGGAATATGGGTATTCATTGTACTATCTTTTCATTTTTCCATAAACTTAAAAGTTTTCAAAATTAAAGGTTAGGTTGGGGAAATTCACAAAAATAAAATGAGGAGAACAGGCAGGTCATGATAATACAGAGATACTTGGTTATCTTTTTTACTGTGAAGTCATACTAGCCATTAGGTCATTGACATTACCTCTTTGGAAGAGGGCAAAAAAAAAAAAAAAGTGAAAATGATTATCTATAAAATCCTATGGAGCCAGATAGTGAGAACTGATTAACAGTGAAACAATTAGTCTTAAAAAAGAAATCTTAAACACAGTTGTAGCTCAGTTCTCTAAAAGCCTGTCCCTATCTATTCATTTACCAGATTTCTCAAGGAAGAATCTAGATATGAGGAACATTTGGCATAACTAAAGGAGTAGCTCAAAAACCCAAGTTATTAAATGTAATTCACTTAATTAAAAGTTTGATTGGACTTACTGATAGCTGCTGTGTGTTTAAAATGAGTAATTGGAGCCTTTTTAATACTTCCAGACTTGGTAGTGATTTATCACTGTAATTAGAATTCATTGTTTCATGATCCTAATTATCAGAAGAACTAATGCTTCAGATTTTTATGTAATGAGGTGGGCCATAAAATAAAGCTAACAGCACACAGAAAGAGCACATTTCGTCCCCTGAGGTCACTTAACCCAGGTGTCGGTTAAGGGCAGCCCTTCTCCAGGGTGCAGACGTACCTGAGACCACGAAGGATTCTCTCCATCGTGGAAGGGATAATGACCGGACGCCGTTGGAGTAGCTCCCTTTATAGCCAGACTGTCCAGCCACTTTCCGAACCAGTATTTTCCCTCCTGAATTATCAAGCACACCACTGTGAAGAGAGAAAAAAACTTTTTTTGAAGAAAGAGGAGAAGAATATTGTTTGACATATAATAGACTATGAAACCAGTTGCCATCTTAATTTTTTTCTAATTCTACATGTTATACGTTAAAAAATTTTTTAATTGAAGTATTGTTGATTTACGATGTTGTGGTAGTTTCAGGTGTGTAGCATAGTCATTCAGTTATTCATATATATGTATTTATTCTTTTTCACATTCTTTTCCTGTACAGGTTATTACCGAGTATAGACTTCCCTGTGCCATACAGGGGGCTTCCCTGGTGGTGGCTCAGATGGTAAAGAATTCGCCTGCAATATGGGAGGCCTGGGTTTGATCCCTGGATTGGGAAGATCCCCTGGAGGAGGGCATGGCCACCCATTCCAGTATTCTTGCCTGGAGAATCCCCAAGGACAGAGGAGCCTGGTGAGCTGCAGTCCATGGGGTCACAAGGAGTCAGACACGACTAAGTGATTGTGTGTGCCTGAGTGCTAAGTCGCTTCAGCTGTGTCCAACTCTTTGCGACCCACTGGACTACAGCCACCAGGCTTTTCTGACCATGCGATTCTCCAGGCAAGAACACTGGAGTGGGTTGCTCTGCCCTCCTCCAGGGGATCTTCCCAACCCAGGGATGAACCCGTGTCTCTTACATCTGCATTGGCAGGCAGGATCTTTACCACTAGCACCACCTGGGAAGCCCACAGTAGGTTCTTGCTGGTTATCTATTTTATATACAGTAGTGTGTATATTAATCCCAAGTTCCTAATTTATACACCCCCACCCATGTTTTCCCCTTGATAACCAAAAGTTTGTTTTTGAAATCTGTGACTTGTTTCTGTGAGGTTTTTTGGTAAATAAGTTCATTTGTATAATTTCTTTTTAGATTCCTACTAGTTCTCCCTGAAGTAAAACCTCTTTCCTGACAATTTCCAGTGTGGTTTTGTGACATCACAGAGTGATTTCAACTATTTCAAAGAGTGGTACAGTATTTTTAGAAGCACGTTTTCCTTTTATTTTGGGGCAAGGAAGGTGTGTGAGCTAAACTAAACTCATTTAAAAGAGTCCCCAAAGGTTGGAAATTGTTTCTTTAATTTCTAGGATTTTGAAGGTTTTAGGTCCTGATTTGACAGTAACTGACATATCGACCTCTTTGCTTCCACTGAAGCAGGGACCCCAGTAAGTCATTTCCTTGCCCCAGAGCCTAACATGGCTCCCTTGGGCATCTGTAATTGACAGCACGGGGGAACTGAAAAAGTCCTTAGATTTGTTCCCATCAACACCCTTCCTTCTCTACAGGAATGAGCGCTGCCATTTCCTTCCCTCCCACATCCATGGTGAGTCAACAACTTTCAACACTCAACTTCCTAACAGCTCAAAAGGAAAGAAGGTGATAATAATACTTGACATATAAAACCCTTCATTGCTTTTGAATCATTCCCACTCATGGTGTCTTACTGAGTTCTCCCAGCAAACCTGCCGGCTGTGGAGCGGAGGGAATGCTGTCATTCCCACTTCACTGAGATAGGCTTAGGCAGCTTGAGGGATCCTGTGACTCCAAATTTTATAACTTCTAAATGGCAAGGGAGGGATGTGAGCCTAGGTCTAAGCGACCTGGAATCTTGGGTTTGCCCCACGTGGTCACAGTTGCCTCTCAGAGTTCCAAAGCTACAGGCATCTCCCCACATCTAGTCCTCATCTCTCCTTCACTGCATTGCAACCTTGCCCGCCCTTCTCCGGGGAGCTATCAGTCAGGGCCCCACACAATCCCAGCTACAACAAGGCTGGTCCCAGCTCTGCTGACAACCCACAGGATTCCCACCCCCGTTTCTGTTCATGCTGTTCTCTGCCCTGGAGAACCTGGCAGTCTCCCCAATACCTCCTTCTCCGTGACATTGTTACACCACTTCCATGGCTCAGATGGTGAAGAATCTGCCTGCAATTCAGGAGATGCTGGAGATATGGGTTTGGTCCCTGGTTTTAGGAAGATCCCCTGGAGGAGGGCATGGCAACCCACTCCAGTTTTCTTGCCTAGAGAATCCCATAGACAGAGGACGCTTGCGGGTTACAGTTCAAGGGGTAGCAAAGAGTCGGTCACTACTGAGTGGCTTTCACTCACTTCACTTCCTAACAGTGCCTTTGAATCTTGTCCTTCCATGATGACTCTGATTTCATTTTATAAAAATTCCTTGAGTTAACTTTGCCTCTCAACTGGAACGCAAATCTTCTTATGGGACGACACTAGTTTTGCTTCTGTGTTCGAAAGCCTGTCTCTTTGTGGATGCCCCTCATGCTGACTTGTGAAAGAAGGTTGTTAGGTTCGGAATGGTGCCAAGGGGTTCATTTCACAACGGTAGCTTGAAATCAGCCACAGTGGGAGTATTTACACTACAGATGTTAACAAATCAGCATTTACCCCCTCCTCCTTTTAAGAGGGTTAATTGGTAAACACTGACCAGCACACCACTGGCATGGGCTGACAATTCAAATTATTTTTAAAAAACTTATCCCAATTATCCTATGGTCCCCTATTCATAACTAGTAAAGGAAATAGAAATAGCTCTTATCTTTTTATTTTCTCCTGGGGGAAATTTTTCTGTCCCTGGATTTACATTCCATTGTACTGAGGAAATGTGCAAGCAGTCATTCTTGTTTTAAAAGTCAGAAGCACTGTAGCTGCCACTCAGAGTGAGGGAGAGGTGCTGAGTTTCGCTTTGCTCAGGCTTTTAAAAAGGGAATGGGGGAAGGCCTGGGGGTTCTTAGGCTGGACTGGGAGGTGGAGATCCCTTGTGACGGTTATAGAGGACTCCAAACCCAGACTTTGGGAAAGGCATGGACACAGAATTCTTGTCTTCTCATAGATTTTCCTGTTGTCTTAAGAGAGAGATCTTGAAAGTGGACTTCACTGCAGGACGTACGTATTTCCAGATATCCTTCTGGAGGAGGCATGGGGCAGGGAGTGGTCTGTCAGCTCGAGGAGGTGACAGCTGTCCCAGGGGAGGAATGCATGGGACACTAGACCACCACAGGAGATATCAGAGGAGGGAGAGAGCCTGAAGGCCTGTGGTTGCACTTAGGACACATTTAGGGGCTCAGAACCAAGGTAGCTTGGAGAATTTATGTAAATAAAACCTCACCTGTATCCTCATTGAGGTGGAGGGAGATGCTTCATACACATTTTCTGAAAGAGCAAAACCAGTTCCACTCCTTTGCATTCCTCAGACATCCTGCATGATGCTGAACATGGCCTTGAGGTTCACCTCCTCCCTTACCCTCAGGACACTAGGATCAGCTGAGGGTCAGCATCGTGGCTTGGAGGAAAGGGGCTGTCCACCATGAGGCCAGTTTTGCTGGCTGCCATTCTCAAGATGGGCATCTGGTCAGAAATCCATGCTCAGCAGGAAGAAGGCCTCTTTGTTGTCCCATCTCAGAACTCTTCCCCTCTCCCAGGCTTTGGTCCCACTTTAAACACAGAAGTTAGTTCAGGCCAAGACTGAGCCCGAATGTGATGCCTCAAATACGTTCATTATCTCTTTGGTTTGAAAAGATCAAGGGGATCACTCATAATATGGCATCTGATTATCATACATTATGTGAAAATTAAACCCTTTAAGCTAAATCTGAATTTTGAAACCAAAGTATGCCCTCTCCAGTTTCCCAGTTCTGACTGCGTGGGCCTCTGGCAGGACAGTGATGGAGGGTCCCTTGTGCATTTCCCACTCTTATCCTCTGTCTTCAATCCTGCCTTCTGAAGAGAGATGTGTTCTGTTTGTAAACAACAGAATTGATATAATCCAAAATTCCTATCTCTTTTTCCTTAGGACTTCTATACATCCTCCTCATGGGTAGTGATTCCTTCTTTCCGTCTCCTACTATATCAGCCATTGGTCCAGGAAGTCACGAGGCATTCAGTTGCTCTAGCAGCAAATCTTTTTTGAAACAGTCAAGCTCTTCTCCGCAGTCCCTCTACCCTCATCTGTATTCTTCTCAGCAAGTTCCTAGGCTCCACCCCAAGTGCTGACGTTGCTGAGTCCTGGTCCTTGTCAATGCCATTCCTATGTTCTCCCTAGAGGCGTGTTCATCTATCATAAAGCCTTTCCCAGCTCTAACTGCTCCAAAGTCTATAACCTCATCATGTCCTCATGTACATTAAGCAATGCTGGGACCCCTCAGTTCTTACCTAAATGCATCACCTGGGCTCTGGGCTGGAAGCCAGGGGACACAAGTTCTAATCCTGGAAGGAACTCGCAATTTAATTAACCTCTCTATGCCTCCCTACAGGCTTCCCTGGTAGCTCAGATGGTAAAGAATCAAAACAGGAGGCCCCGTTTTGATCCCTGGGTAGGGATAATCTCCTGGAGAAGAGAATGGCAACCCACTTCAGTACTCTTGCCTGGATAATCCCATGGATGGAGGAGCCTGGTAGGCTACATTCCATGGGGTTGCAGAATCTGACACTTTTGACTCTTCCCCTTCTGAGGATGTTAACAGCAGCCTCATAGGGCTGAGGCGATGCTAGGCGATGCTAGGGATGTGTAAGGGGTTACTGTCATGAAGACATCTCGTGAGCTCATATGAACTCGTGTGGCTCTGTACTGCACAGGAAAGAAGGAAAGACAAGAGACAGATAGCAAACGCCAGAGGAAGCAAGTGTCAACCTGGAAAAATTCAGCAGGCCTAGGATAGGCTCTGCCTCTACAGAAGATGTCAGTGTCTGTGCAAACACAAACCAGAGCATGCTGATGGTGTTGGCAGAGCTGTGAGTGCATGCACACATGTGTCAGGGTGTGTGTGAGCACATACATGTGTGTTCAAGTGCAGGTAGGAGGCATGAATGTTTGAACAAGTGATTGTGGGGGGGGGTACACTGTGTCATGGTGTGTGTGAGCACACACATGTGTGTTCAAGTGCAGGTAGGAGGCATGAGTGTGTGAACAAGTGACCCCGTGGGGGCAAGCACAAGTGTGTGCGTATTCACATGTAGATTTGCATATTGCCTTGCTGCACAAAATTGATTTCAGGGTGAAAGCAAAATATTTTTATTCCATAGTTTGGAGTTAAGAAATAGAATTTGGTGTTTGTTTCTTTGATGTTCCTCTATTTATCCTCAGATGAGTTTTGTATTCCCTCTCCCACTGAAAAACCAGGCAGCTCTTCACCTCTGTGTGCCAGTGGGGAAGAGTATGCCTGACAAAGTCTATTAGTAACTCTTAAGTCTTATTTTAGGCAGAGGTTTTTTTCATTGCTTCTGCAAATTTCAGAGAGGCTACTGCCTAGACACCTTGAAAGGGAATGAATTTTAGGCCCCCCTCTCTCTGGCAGAGATACAACTGAATGATCAAGTGACTGGCCTGCAAGAAAAGAAAAGTGAAAAGATGCCAGAGGCCTGAATAAGTGAGAAACTTCAGCCAGTATCTGGCAGCCAAGCCCAAACTTTAGAGCCGCATCTCAAAGCAGTGCTGGCTAGTGAATAGAAGCGGGAGTACTGATTTGAGTTTGAATCCCTACTCTGATATTTTTCAATGGTGTGGCTTTAGAAAGGCTATTCAACCTCTCTTTACCTTTAAGAGGTGGATAACGGTAGATAGTGCGCAGGGGAGATGTGGGGGCTGAATTAGACAACACAGGTGGAGAGCTGGACATCCACCCATCAGCCTTATTATCAAACATACTGAGTAAACATACCTTCCCTGTGTTTTGACTCCGAGCCTAAGTGAAAGAGGTGTGAGGCTTCTGTGAAGGTCACGCTTGCCTCATTTAGGCAGTGACATAGTCATGCTTCCTTCTTCCTGGATCCCAAACCAACAGCTGACCAGTCAGGACCACCTGTCACTCTCCTTTTCACTGTTTCCTGTTCCCATTTGTCTCCAGCCATCAACCAGAGCTGTGACATTTCTTCTCTAAACCTCTGGGCTTTGCTTAGTCATGTCCCTATTATTTCCTTGCTCAGCACATACAGGTAGAAAACATTTTTTTACATCATCAAGAACTTTGGTTTCTTCGTCATGAACACGGAAGAGTAGGATTCTCCTCCCCTCTCATTCATGTGTAAAGAGAAGTCAGTTCTCCTTTCTAGAGAGATTTGCAAGGAGATCCAGGGTCGTGCACAGATTCTGGGTTATCCTCTTGGATAGGGCTGCTAGATAAAACACAGGATGCTCACTTAAAGTTGCCCATTTTTGCTTGCTAATCAGGCAACCCTGTGCCGGGGGCTCCCCGCCCACACCCTGACCGCTCATTCTTAAGTAACTCAGTGTTACCCACCTGTGAACTGCAGCACCACACACGCTAGAATAGGAAGCGTAGACGTCAGTGCCATAAACATGGTACCTAGGGTCTTGGCATCCTGGTGGACACTTCACAATGAACTCGACATTCGTTATCTTCCCAGCTCTTACATCACAGCTGATCTGAGGAACAGCTGGGAATGCAAAATGAAGTCAAGATTACACCTTGTGGTAGCAGCTTATATATGGGGTGACTGTTAGGTTATAACGATTCATTTACTTGATCTCTAAAAGCCAGAGCCTGGACTGACCCTGGATCCCCTCTGTATAATGAAAGCAGAGAGGTAATTAGGATATTCCTCAGGCCAAAAGAGCAATCACTGTCCGTTGCATTTAACCTGCTGAGAGCAAGAACAAGAGGCTCATTCCTGTGCTTAATCAAACAATTAATTAATTGGAGTAGAGAACTCTGGGAAAAGACCCACCTCCAGTGGCCAAAAATGTCAGTGTGAGTCCACAGCTGGAGAATACTGCTTTTTCAGATGCTCTGGAGCTAGCCCGAGAAAAGAGGAAATGCTCAGAAAACCTTGCAGAAAGAAGGAAAGGTATTCGGGAAGGGCGAGTTAGAGAGCATGGGCTTTGGGTCAGGACTGGCTAGGAAAAGGTGGGTCTACTGCAGCCAAGACCCTAGCTGGATCCTGTGGGGAGCACTGGGATGGGCAGGGCCAGGCCAGGAGGAGGCAGCTTGGTGCTTGTGTTCTGTGAACGAGGTGGGACTTGGAGGGTTTTTGAACTGGGGAGATAGATAATGGAAGTGATCTTTTGTCTTGGTCCTTGAGGCTGGGTCCTAGCTCCAGGGTCAAGGTAGGAGTCATCCTTCCTCCTCTTCCTCAACGCTCAGTGGAAAGCTGGGGACTGCCCTGCTGGGCATCTTGGGGAAGCCCATTCATTCGTCCTCCCTCCTCTTGGGCCTCGTGATGCCACAGCCGGCTAGCTGTGTCAGTCGGCAAGGCTGCTGGCGCTGCAAGCTTGCTTAGGGATAAGATGATGCAGGTGCTCTAGCAGCAGTACCTAAAAGAGGGGTGCGGCTGCGTCTTCCCTGAAAAAATCTCCCTCCAAAACTCCCGAATGAAAAGGGCTCCTAGAGGATCCTATACTGATGCCCGGGAGCTAGGAATGTATTCTCTAGAAGAGACTCTGAAGCACAAACAACCGTTCAGAGTAAGCAGAAAGGAACTGGAAACCATCAGATGCGAGGGCTGCCTGGCAGAGGTGGGGTGTTTGGACATAAGAAGGCGAGCATTGGAGGCAAGTCACAAGTAGGACTGAGCAAGAACTGAAGGGGAGGTTTCTATGGAGTTTTCTTTTCTTTCTTTTTTTTTTTTTTAACCAAAAAGAACTTTCTAGTAAATGAAGTTGCCCTTGAAGGAAGGGGCAGGCAGGGACTGAACAGTTGAAGATGGGATGTCTCCATTGGGTGGGAAGTGGAAAGAAAGTCCCGCCCAGTGGTGAGAGTCAGTGATTACAAACATAGATTCCGGATCTCTGCCAGGCCACCCATCCTCTAACTGGGTTACTGAGATGCTCTCAGAGTTGTTAATGGTTTCCAGCTGTATCCAAAATGTACTTTTTTTTTTTTTTTAACTCTTTTGTACCTGAATGGATCGGAGCTGCGTTTCCTTCAGGCTGGAGAGAGGACTGAAGTTAGAGCTCCCGCTCTTTTCCTAAACACCCCTCCCAGACAGTCCTGGCCACACAGGGCTGGGCCAGCATGGAAGTCCTCCTGGGAGCCCAGGGGCTGAATGTGATCACAGGCTAAAACAATTTGTGGTCCCCATGGAGAAGGGGAGCGCCGCGCTTAAAACGGTTTTGTGGTTTCATTCTCCCCACCACAGGATGCTTCCTCTCCAGTTATTTTCTTTTTATCTTCCATTCTTTTAAACCTCGATACTCAAGGCTGCATGGACTATTTTGAGTCTTGGAGTACTATTTTAAAGAGACAATTTGGGGATGGAAGATACCTATGTAGCCTCTCCTTAAACTGTTAATTGTCAGATCATTGGGTGTATAACTAAATGCATTCAACTCTCCTCCCTTCCGCAGATCACTGCCCCATTCCTGAATGCAGCTCCTCCCTTGGATGCAAAGAAAATGAAAGCATTCCCTCTTGGCTCTTAGTTGTGTGAAATAGGAAGTGACAGCTCTGTGCCCTGGGATTCCATGTGGGCGTGACCTTGGCACCCTGAGGTTTTGGACCTCCTGGTAGGCCAACCCAACTCTTGTGGAGTTGTAAATGGGGTGCTATGGAGAAGCTTGTTGCATGAATGTCATACAGTGATTGAACCTACAGCAAGACAGGTGCGCAGGCAGTAGAATTTTCCATGAAATAGTTGGTTTAAAATGACAAGGGGAAAAGTGTCACATGGGAATATTCTGCTTCCTGCTCATCATTTCCCACCCTCAACTAGCTCCTTCCTTTGGGGGGAACTTGTTTGTTGTTTTGTCTTGCTTTCACAAAGGCCTGGGCAGTCCCTTCAATAAGATCTTCTGCTTTATCTGCATCTAGTTGGATTATACACTGGTGAATTAATTCACCTCACGATAGTGGGAGGGGGGATAAAATGAAATCAAGCATGTACACTCGTGTACTTTGGAAAGTGTACCGTTCACTGTCCCCAGAGCCTTACTTGCCAAATCAGTGCCTCCCTGCTCCCTTCAGACCTGAGGCAGAGACTTCTTGAGCTGCCTTAATTTTGACTTCTCCTCTGAAGGAAGGATTATTTCTGCGTTTTTGAGAGGAAACACAAAGATAGATGAAAATGAACCTAAACAACAGAGGAGAAAGAGAGAAAAGGAACACTTCTGGGAAGGCATGTGGGATCTTCCCAGACTAGGGATCAAACCCGTGTGTCCCGCATCGGCAGGTGGATACTCTACCAGTGAGCCACCAGGGAAGCCCCCATCCTATACATAATAGTCTGCATCTGCTGACTATCGGCTGTGAAGTGGGAGAGTTCAAAAGTATGCAGAGGAAATCCAGAGAGAAACCATTTCATTTGGGCCTTAAGTGGATGCATGGAAGATTCTTAGAAGGTTGCAAGAAAACAGACTACTTCACAAATAACTGGGAAAATACTGTAAAGAAACACCGTGGTTTCCATATACTCAGAGCAGTCAAAAAGATGCGAATGACTGCTTCTTGTTGACTGGATTTAGATATTACCCTTTCCAATGAGTTTGGCCATCGCTCTGAAATGATAATTAGCTCACTTTCTTCAGCTTAATTTTCTGTACAAATTGAACACATAGTTGACATTTAGACATGCTTCGTCATTGCGCCCTGCTCTTCCAACGTGCTTGATCACATGTGCTTGGTTTCATTCCGTCCTGAGTGTACTTCTGTGAGTGGAAGTCAGAGAGCCCTGGCTGAGTCACAGAGCTCCTGGGGGAGCCCAGGACTGCTCGAGCGGAAGCGGCTCAGAGACCTGTTTCCTGGCCATTTGCTCTGCTCCCATCTCGTGTGGCTCCTTGAGGTTACCTTGCCTTCTCAGGGCTGTTAGCATTTTCTTGATGGAACTCACATCAGGGCATCTCAGAATCTGTTCTCCCCAGAGGACCTTGGCACTGGACACAGGGGAAAGAGAACCATTTGCAATCCAGATGGCAAGAACTGAAGATAACTTTTAGATGTTGTTCAAGGCAATGGGTCTGCTGTACTGATCTCAGAAGCAAGACAGGTACTGTCTGAGCCTCCACTTTCATGCAACATCAGGATCGTAGAGGCACGACTGCAGATATTTCTGCTCTAAGTTGGGTTTTCTGCCTGATCTAATAACAGAGTGATTATTGGGTGATGTCACATACAATAAGCCAGTGATGTAGAGGCCAAATCAAGCTGTATAATCTCCCGCTTATTTTCCATTCATCTTTTCAGTGAATGTGGTTTTCCAGGCAAACCACATCGCTTCGGGAAAACAAATTTCCTCATCAATTAGAGAAGGCTGTTATAAGCTTGCCTCCTGGCTGTTAATGAGAAAGAATTATTACAACATAAAAGCACTTATGCATAAGCAGTTTTGATATGAAACTTAATTTTGTTGGATTGTGATATTCAACTAGAGTAAAATTCTATTTTTAAGAAAATCATGCAAAAACGTTAATGAAACAAAACGACCACCAAATAAAATTTTAAGATGAAACCCCCTTCTCCTTGATCCTGACACCAGTGAACAGATCATGTTACTTCTTCCTTGGCAGCATATTCTTTTGCAGAGATTCTTTTCCGTTTTGCTTAAACAGTCTTTGACCATGTTGAATCTTTTTAAAAAATTTATGCTACTGAAGTATAGTTGATTTAAAATGTCATGTTAATTTCTGTTGTACAGCAAAGTGATTCAGTTATACATATATATATTCTTTTCAATTATCATTTATCACAGGATATTGAGTATAGTTCCCTGTGCTATATGGGAGGACCTTACTATTTATCCATCCTATACATAATCATTTTTTTAAAATTTTTGTTTATTTATTCAGGCTGCACTGGGTCTCTGTTGCTGCCTGGGCTTTTCTCTGGTTGTGGTGAATGAGGGCCACTCTCTTGTTGTGGTACTCAGGCTTCTCCTCGTGGTGGCTTCTCTTGCTCTGGAGCACGTGCTTAGTTGCCCTGAGGCATGTGGGACCTTCCCGGACTAGGGATCAAACCCATGTCTCCTGCATCGGCAGGTGGATTCTTTACCAGTGAGCCACCAGGGAAGCCCCCATCCTATACATAACAGTTTGCATCTGCTGACCCCAAATGCCCATCCTTCCCTCACTCACCTTCTCCCCGCCCTTGGCAACAGCAAGTCCGTTCCCCATATCTGTAAGTCTGTTTCTGTCTCACTGATAAGTTCATTTGTGTCATATTTTAGATTCCACATATGGGTGATGTCTATGATATCTGTCTTTCTCTGTCTGACTTACTTCACTTAGGATGATAATCTCTACATCCATTCATGTTGCTGCAAATGGCATTATTTTACTCTTTTTAAGGCTGAGTAGTATTCCATTATATATATAGGTACACACCACATTTTCCCTATCCATCTATTGGTGGACATTTAGGTTGTTTGCATATTCTGGCTATTGTAAATAGTGCTGCTATGAGCACAGGGATGCATGTATCTTTTTGAATTACAGTTTTGTCCAGATA